CAGAAAATCTTTTCAGGACCCCACCTTGATGTTTTGGGACCCCACTTTGGGTCCCGACCCCAACTTTGGTAAACATTGTGTTATTGCATCATATTGATCGCAGACTTGTGAATTGATTTAAATCAAAGTCATATCGTGACGGATTTGTGATGGAGAAATATATCATCATCCAAACAAAATCGATATCGTATCGTGATATATCTGGTGATTTATGATTTATATCTGGAATTTTAAGTAAGTTATGGCCATTTTTGTTTTGATAAAAGGTAAACAAGCTCTGCTACCCAGTGTTGATGCCAAAAGTCATGACATTATCTCCTTCCAGCCATTACGTTTTGAAAGGTTTGTCTAAATCTGTCAATTAGTTCAAACAATTTGCTAACAGACAGTGTTAACCGCGGACTTAACAGGAGTCAATGCCATAATTTTAAGTTCAAGTTCAAGTTTATTTATATAGCGCCAAGTCACAACATATGTTGTCTCACAGGGCACTGTACATAAAAAGATTAATCTAAAGAAGAAACCAGCAGGCTGCGTTGAATAGCTTCATCACAGTCTCCCATCCTGAGCAAACGGTGGAGAGGAAAAACTCCCTGCTTATCAGGAAGAAACGTCCAGCAGAACCAGGCTCAGTTTTAAATAAAGACGTAGAGCTCAGGACATGTGTTGAGGATGACTACGAGCTACAAGCACAYCAAAATGTAGCTCAATATGTGTAAAACTGACTGAGTTAACACTTTTTTTTGCCAAGGTCATTTAGTTGCTCACTTCAGCTAGTCATCCATATCTCTTTTTTTTTTGTAACTTCCGAGTGTGGGTCAAGTTGTAAGCAAAAAGAGCAACAGTGCAAAATCTGTGAGCAGATTTGTTGCTAAAAGCTTCCAAATGGAACAAAAGCCAAGAAGTTAAAATCACTGCAGAGATTTCCTCACAAACATCTTATATAAGATTTTAAAAAATTCTAGTTACGTTTTGTTTTGAAAAGCGATTCTTGTGCCCCTTCCTGCTTCATATGTTTATGTTTCTTCATATGTATATGTGGTCTCTGTCACCATTCRCACATGCCACGTGTCGCACACCAGCATCGTCCTGTTTTTTTAACCATCTGAAGAGTTTAAAAAGTTTCTGGAACTTAAAGTCACATAAACCACCCCAGCTAATAAACTGAGATGACGCAGCCAAAAGTGGTTAAAGTTATAAAAACAAACTGTTCATTTTTTTTTGATATTTATATCAAAGCAAAACACTAAAACAGAAAAAAAAGCTTCTGTTTGACAATTTAACAACTGCCTTGGTTAGTGTTGGCCCTGTTACATTGGCTGTTTTATTTTATTAAACAGCAACACAGTAAATCCATCTTCTTCTCATAGCCGTGTTTGTTTTCCACACACAAACACTGGATTTGACTTTTGTTTACAGTCTGCTGAGGAAGGCAGAWGAAGCTCCCTGATGACTGTTTTGGTTTTGATATCAATAAGTCTCATGTTTGAGTTGATCCACTGAATCGCAGGAGAAGCAGAGAACATGGCAGAGAAAACCTTTAACTACCGGAGTGTTCAAATAATTTGCTGCTGACCATTTATTGATGCCAGAAATCAAACATTTCAGACATTTACTGCTGAAAATGCCACTTTCTTCACCGTAACATCTTGGTGGTGAGGACTTCATGTTTGACACGTGTGGTCGTGGTTTGACTGAAGTGTTGCAGCCAAAGATGAAATGTGTCAAATCACTCCTTCAGCTAGCATAACCCTACATTTCCATCTTCTTTTTCCTGAATGCTTATGATTGCTGTAATTACATCTGCAGCCTTGTATATTTAATATTCCTCTTTGGCTTTGCAACATTTAATGAATTCGCACATTTAAAAAAAAAACACTCCTGAACATGTTTGACCTAATTAACCTGAGTTGTTCTCCCATTGAATGAGTGCAGCTAGTCTTTCTAAAGGTTAATCACTCCAGTTTGTACCAGGCGCACCTTATTATCATGCTAATCAGACTTAGCAAACACAAAATTGGTATAGCTCAGCCAGTTTTACACATATTGAGTAGGGGTGCAACGATACAGAAAATTCACTATTCGGTTCGGTTCGGTTCAATACTTTAGTCTCACGGTTCAATATTTTTTCAATACAAAAAAGAGAAATTTCCATGCCCCTTTTAACT